AAAATACAAAAAAAAATTAGCTGGGTGTGTTGGCACACACCTGTAATGCCAGCTACTCGGGAGGCTGAGGCACAAGAATCCCTTGAACCTGGGAGGCGGAGGTTGCAGTGAGACAAGATCGCACCACTGCACTCCAGCCTGGGCAACGGAGCGAGAGTCCATTTCAAAAAAAAAACAAAATAGGCTGGGCGTGGTGGCTTATGCCTGTTATCCCAGCACTTTGGGAGGCCGGGGTGGGTGGATCACCTGAGATCAGGAGTTTGAGACCAGCCTGGCCAACATGGCGAAACCCTGTCTCTACTAAAAGTGCAAAAATTAGCCAGGCATGGTGGCACGTGCCTATAATCCTAGCTACTCAGGAGGCTAAGGCAGGAGAATCGCTTGAACCCAGGAGGTGGAGGTTTCAGTGAGCCGAGATCATGCCACTGCACTCCAGCCTGGGCTACAGAGTGAGACTACGTCTTTTAAAAAAAAAAAAAAAAACCAAACAAAATAATAAAATAACAATTAAAAAGTATAGTATAGTAAATATGTAAACCAGTAACATAGTTGTTTATTATCATTATCAAATATGGGTTGAGTATCCGAGGTCTGAAAAGTCTAAAATTTGAAAATCTAAACCTTTTTGAGCACTAATATGATGCTCCAAGGAAATGCTCGTTGGAGCATTTTGGGTTTCAGGATTTTTGGATTTGGGATACTGAACTTACAAGCATATACAGTGCAAATATTCCAAAATCTGCAAAAATCTGAAATCCAAAACACTCCTTCTCCCAAGCATTTCAGATAAGGGATACTAAACCTGCATTGTGTACTCCACATAATTGTGTGTGCTATACCTGGATACGACTGGCAACACAGTTCTGTTTACATCAACATCACCACAAACGCATGAGTAAGGACTATGGATATTATGATGGCTATGAAGTCATTAGGTGATATGAATTTTTTAGCCCAATTATAATCTTATTGGGCCACCATCATATATGTAGTCTGTTGTTGACCAAACATTGTTATGTGACACATGTCAAGATTTCTGGTAGTTAGCTGTTTTTCAGGGAATTATTTGTGAGCCTTAAAATTGGTTTCCCTTATTCCTTGTTACTCAGCTGGTTGTGCTAAGAAATGTTATATTTGTTTGGAGGATTCTTAATAGACAGTTTTGTCCCTTTTTTCTTTGCATATTTTCAACAAATATGAGCATCTCCTGTTTTCCAGACCTTGTGCTATGCCTTGAGGATACAACTGTGAACAAAACAAAGTTCCTGTCTTCATAGAGTTTGTATAAGAAAGATAGGCAATAAACAAATATATGTCAAATACTGATGAGTACTGTGATTAAATCAGGGTAAAGGATAAAAAGTGATATACCTAAAATGTGGCTTTATCATGTACACCTTCACAAAAAACCATATCAGCATAGCATGATCTCAGAGATGTAAGAAAAAAATACCAGGAATAAAGGCTGTTAAAGAAGTATGCTGAAATATTCATAAGGGTTATTTCTGATAGTGAGATTTAGGGATGATTTTTTAATTATACTTTTATATATTTTTCCAAAGCATTCATTACCTTTATTCTTGGGGGAGAGGCGGTACTAATGAGGTCATGTGTGCACCTAAAGCCCGGTTCTGCTGGCTCATAGCTCCTGTGTGCACCAAGAGGAAGAAAGTCACCTGCATGGTTTCTCTAAAAGTGTTTCTGGAACTCCCCCCAGCAGGTGTCTTACATGTGATCTGAACAAGTTCAACTCAGTGAGTCCTTCTGCTTTCTGAACAAGCCTCTGCCTCCTGAACAGGCCTCTCTGCCTCATATCAACCATGATCAGTATCTGAGAAGGTTATTTGTCGTTCATCTAAGATTTGTCTTTCCGCAGTGTTTAGTGCTAAATAGGTCATTTATGAGGAAAGTGTAGAAAAACTCTTTAGTAAGGTACTATATATTCTTCATATAGAAGAGTAATTTTTTAAATTAATTTTGTTCACAATATATGCTTCACAATATTCCAGTCAAATCTGACCTAACTCAGGCTATTGCACACATGTTGTGACTTGTAAAGGCTGTGGGACAGGACAGAGAAAAGGCATGAAGCACATTTTCAGTCCCACAAGTGAAATGAGCCCAACTCTTTCCCTTGTCAGCAGTCAGGGAGAGCATCTTCACCCCACTCAGGCTGTGCCTCAGCTACCTCAGCATCAGAAATAACAGGAGCCGGGCAGGTGGCCTATAATCCCAGCACTTTGGGAGGCTTAGGCCGGCAGATCGCGGGAGGTCAGAAGTTTGAGACCAGCCTGGCCAACATGGTGAAATCCTGTCTCTACTAAAAATATAAAGAATTAACCAGGTGTGGTGGCACACACCTGTATTCCCAGCTACTTGGGAGGCTGAGGTACGAGAATCACTTGAATCTGGGAGGCAGAGGTTGCAGTGAGCCGAGATATAACAGGAAAAGGAGAGAAAGAAGGGAAACCCTGAAACAGTACCTACGATGAGGCTGGGCCCCAGGCTGAGGACTTGGCACATATGTATCAATGAAAAGGCCGTCTTTTATAGCTAGAATTGTAGGATTTCCTATAACCCTGAACTTCCCAACATCCTCTTCAGGATCAGAGTTGCTGGTATATCCTTAAAGGCCTGATTTTTCTGTGCTTCTACCCAGTCCTTTTTCCCACTCGGGCTCCCCCTCGTCTGCGGCTGTCTTGGTAACGAAATGTTTGGTGACAAAGCAAACAAAAATAGTCTATCTTCTTTGCTCCTCTTATTATGTCCAAGATATACTCATTTTTAGAGATATGGGCACACTTTACACATTCAAATAGGTGGGTAGGCACACTTTTGTTCTAAGCATAGTTTGAGGAGAACTTTTTTTTTTTTTTCTTTTTTTGTTGTTGAGACAGAGTTTCACTCTGTCACCCAGGCTGGAGTGCAGTGGCGCAATCTCAGCTCACTGCAGCCCCTACTTTCCAGGTTCAAGTGATTCTCCTGTCTCAGCCTCCCGAGTAGCTGAGATTACAGGCGTGTACCACCACGCCCGTCTAATTTTTGTATTTTTAGTAGAGACAGGGTTTCACCGTGTTGGCCAGGCTGGTCTCGAACTCCTGACCTCAGGTGATCTGCCCGCCTCGGCCTCCCAAAGTGCTGGGATTACAGGCGTGAGCCACTGTGCCCGGCCTGAGGAGAACTTTTCTATGTCTCTTTGTCTTGCCTTCTCTTTTGCAGTTCTTTGCTTGCCTTCCTTTCCAACTGTTTGCTTTGTTTCTTTCCATCTTCCTGTATCAGGCAGCAATTCCTATAAACATTATTTGATGTTATTGGTAGTCCTTGCACCTGAATAGGTGAAACCTATCTCAGAGTAGATCATGCATTCCAGCTGAAAATGTTAATCTACTTGGTAAGTGCAATGTGATGGAAGAAACAACTTCTCAGGCCTGTGAAACATTGATTAAATATACTTTTTTGTTTCTTTGTTTGTTGGAGACAGACATGCTCTGTCACCCAGGCTGGAGTGCAGTGTCGTGATCTCGGCTCACTGCAACTTCTGCCTCCTGGGTTCAAGCAATTCTCCTGCCTCAGCCTCCCAAGCAGCTGGTGTTACAGGCATGTGCCACCATGCGCAGCTAATTGTTTGTATTTTTAGTAGAGACAGGGTTTCTCCATGTTGGCCAGGCTGGTCTCGAAATCCTGGCCTCAAATGATCTACCCACCTATGTTTCCCAAAGTCCTGGGATTACAGGTATGAGCCACTGCACCTGGCCCATTAAATATACTTTTGTAGTTACTGTTCCTTCTGCCTGGTAGCCTGGTTTCTTTTCCCCATGTTTATCTATTTGGTAAACTCCATTTCTTATTCAAAAGATTTTATTTAAAAGCTAAATGTAGTGGCTTCTTTGCTCCTTTTCCAGATTCACCCAGGCAGTTAGTGTCTCCCACTACAAGTTTTTCGTACCTCTCTCATGACCCATATAAGACTGTTTTATTATTATTTGTTTACATATCTTTTACTAGACTGTGAACTTTTTCAAGGGTAGGAATTGTATCATTTTATTTTCTCAGACTTGGTATATGGTCAACAAATGTTTGTTGACTGTCCGTTCTTCTTTGGATAGGATTTATTCCCTGTTTTCAAGGACCTTACCATCTAATAAGGGTGATCAGTTACAGGTAACCATGGTACAAACTAGAATGCAATTAGTGCCGCAGAGAAGGAAAAAATTACTTCTTGCTGTGGGAAGTAGTGACACCTAAGTTACTCCAGGGTTTGTTGATGAGGTAGCATTTGAAATGGGCCTTGAAGGATGAGTATGAAATGTGGCATTAGTGGCATTGTATTAGCTTTTTGTACTTCTTGATGTCTTTATTAGCAGTAATTTAAGTTCATAGAATATTATTAGACATGTATTCCAAAGCCTTACCTATAAATCATCTAGTTATTACTTTACCTATACTTTACCTATAAATCATTACTTTATTTGCTATTACTTTACCTATAAATCATTCATCAGTTGATTTATACAAAGGAATACATCTTGTGGGGTTATCAGTATACACTCTGTCTTTGTGGGTGTCAGTCATAAATTCAGGAATTAAGATTTGAGATTGTATGTTTTCAACTGTCTGAATGTTATTAACCAAAAGAAAACATGAAATTTGATGCCTTGGCTGGATTTGGTGGCTCATGCCTATAATTCCAGCACTCTGGGAGGCTGAGGCAGGAGGATCACTTGAACCCAGGAGTTTGAGATCAGCCTGGGCAACATGGCAAAACCCCATCCCCACAAAAAATACAAAAGTTAGGCACGGTGGCACATACACATAGTCCCAGCTACTCAGGAGGCTGAGGTGGGAGGATCACTTGAGCCTAGGAGATTGAGGCTGCAGTGAGCCATGAGTGTGCCACTGCTCTCCAGGCTGGGTGACAGAGTGAGACTCTGTCTCAAAAAAAAAAAAAAAAAAAGAATGTCCTACTGTCCTGTTTCATTTATTTTCTTTATTCATTTTAGCCACAGACCCCTTTGCTTCTGTTTTTGGGAATGAATCATTTGGAGATGGATTCGCCGACTTCAGCACATTGTCAAAGGTAATTTACAGTAATTAATAGGAAGGGAAAACATACTGTGTTTCCACCAAAAGAGCAATCCTCCTTTGAATTACATAGTCCTTTCACAAAGTTGCAACTTGATTTCAGTAAATCACAGCAAATGTTGATTTCAGATAGAAATGAAAGATAACATTATAGTTAGACACATTTCTTTATATAACTAGACTGTATTGATGGTATAGGTAATTATAATTTTCTATTGGCATGTTTGCTCAGCAACTTCATATTTAGTCTTCTGTCTTTTTAAACATGTTTCTCTCAGTTGAACCACATTTTCCCCCTGTTGACTGTCTGGGTCAATAGGTGTAAAATCTGGGTTTTTATTTCGTCCTCTCTGTGTTGGTTACTTGATTTTATGTTCTGAGGTTGTTAGGGTCAGTATTAAGGTAATTAATACACAAAGTCCAGTACTAAATGTCCACTACTTATTTTCCACTGTGGCTGTGGTATTGATTCGGGCTAAGAGAAAAGGAGGATTAGATTGTTGGTTCCTTGGTTCTCAACTGAGGGTTATTTTGCCACCAGAGGAACATTTGGCAATGTCTAGAGACCTTTTTGGTTTTCACAGTTGAGTAGGAGATGCTACTGATATCTAGAAGATAGAGATGAGAGATGCTATTTAATACAGTCCACTCTCTAGTCCCCCACAATATGCAGTTATGTCCAGCCCAAAATGTCACTGTTGAGCATTGCCTAAATAAATGTAAAATTGTGAAGTATATGATTCATTATAGAAAAGTTAATCTTTTGTTAACTTTCGAAAGGCAGGGTCTTCAGACACACATTAAGATTTATCATTCCAGCCAGGCGCGGTGGCTCATGCCTGTTATCCCAGCACTTTGAGAGGCCAAGGCAGGTGGATTGTCTGGGCTCAGGAGTTCAAGACCAGCCTGGGCAACATGGCGAAACCTCATCTTGACCAAAAAATACAAAAAGTTGGCCAGGCATGGTGGTGCGCACCTGTAGTCCCAGCTGCTTGGAAGGCTGAGGTGGGAGGATCACATGAGCCCAAGAGGCAGAGGTCGCAGTTGAGCCTAGATTGTGCCACTATACTCCAACCTTAGAGTGAGACCTCATCTCAAAAAAAAAAAAAAAATTATTTCGTGGGATCAGTTTGCTTTAAAAAATTGACTTTCAGGCTTACTTTGCAGTAACTCAAGCCTGTAATCCCAGCATCTTAGGAGGCTGAGATGAGAGGATTGCTTGAGCCCAGGAGTTCAAGACCAGACTGGGCAGCATAACAAAACCCCATCTCTACAAAATAAAAAAATAGCTAGGCATGTTGGTACATGCCTGTAGTCCTAGCTATTCAAGAGGCTAACTGAGGCAGGAGGATCCCTAGAGCCCAGGGGTTCAAGACTGCAGTGAGCTATGATTGTGCCACTGCACTCCAGCTTAGGATACTTAGGAGACTCCTGCCTCTTAAAAAAAAAAAAAAAAAAAAACCATTGACTTTCAGGTTGTCTTTATAGTTTGTCAAGATGTCATTTTCTTTGCATTAGTATTAAATCTCATATTTAAGTTCATTAGGAAGTATGGAATCCATTTTTTTTTCCTTTCATTACCATTTAGATCAGATATTCTTTGTGGAAAGGCATTCAATCCCTTTAAAATGGGCCTCAGGTGGTTTTGCATTGAATATTTCCTGAAGCTTGACAAACTTTTAATCTAGATTGAACTTTTTTTGGTTTGATCTGTTACTCTTAATAAGTAATGATGTTAGAATCACTACTCATATAGAATAACTTTTTTTCAAAAATTTCTCCCATTGGACTCTGAATGCAAAGGTTAAAATGACAGTGGTCTCAGAATTAAATAAAACTGTATAATACTTAAGTCATTATTCGAAATGCTACATGACTACCACAGTTTGCTTAGTGTAGCCATGTATAACCATTTCTTTTTAAACAAAGGTCAACAATGAAGATCCTTTTAGTTCAGCCACATCAAGCTCTGTAAGCAATGCAATGATTACAAAAAATGTATTTGAGGAAACATCGGTGAAAAGTGAAGATGAACCCCCAGCGCTACCACCAAAGGTCGGAACTCCAACAAGACCCTGCCCACCACCACCTGGTATGAGATTTGGTACTTTTCTTCAGTCAACTACATGGCTTTTCTCTTTCTGAAAAGTATTGTGTGGAGCTTACTTATATAAAGGGCTTTAAATGAAACAAGTCAAACATATGTCAGAAGCTTCCTGCTGTCATTCAATCTGACCTAACTGCCGAATTACAGACATGCACCTAAGAGATCAGCATGTGTACATTTCATGAGCTGTCTTTCTGCTAAGACCTGTTTTTCTTTTCTTTTTTTTTTTTTTAAACTTAATCATTTCAGAGAGGCAGTAAATGGAAAAGGGAAAGTGTCAAGAAAATCTCTTTGCCTTTTAGAAACTCATTGATTATCCATTTGAATAGCAGTTTCCTGTACTTTGGTGTTTTAATTATAATTTATTTAAGAGAATATTGTTTCAAAGTCCTTTTCCCGTAACATATAAAGTCTTCCTTAAGTCCTTTAATGTGAGAATATATGGCCTCTTTAGTATCCAGAATTCAGCAATATAGTGATTTGAAGCAAAGTATTGGTTTTCTTGAAGGAAAATGGTATTTTAGCTAACTTAAAAGATTCCTTTTTTTTTTTTTTTGAGATGGAAACTTGCTCTGTCTCCCACGCTGGAGTGCAGTGGCACAATCTCAGCTCACTGCAGCCTCAGCCTCCCGGGTTCAAGGGATTCTCCTGCCTCAGCCTCCCGAGTAGCTGGGATTACAGGCATGATCCACCATGCCTACCTAATTTTTATATTTTTAGTAGAGATTGGGTTTCACCATGTTGGCCAGACTGGTCTCTATCTCCTGACCTCAAGTGATCTGCCCACCTCGGCCTCCCAAAGTGCTGGGATTACAGGTGTGAGCCACCACGCCTGGCCAAGACTCTTTTCTAATAGTGATTTTTCTCTTATTTTTGTTTGTATGATTAGTATGTGTGTGTATGTATATGTTTAGCACTATACAAAGGAAAGTTTGTTTTGTTTTTAGGTCATAATAAGTGGGTAAAAGGATAATTCCTTGAGTAGTTGTAGTGCTGTTGGGCTATTATGTGAGAAGACACGTTTTAGTACATTTTTTAAAAAATCATACCTCATTCCTTGGGAAATTTTCAGTCTCAGTAGTTACAGATTAATACTGCCTTTTCATCATAACCTTTCCATGGTCTTGAGCAGGTAAGTTTTTTTTCTTTGACTGAAAGGATTGCATGTACAATTGTTAATACCTGATAATCTGTTGAAAAATCAGGTAAATGAGTTAAGTGATTCCTTCTAAGGAAAAGTAGCTTATGTCATATATTTCTAGAAGTGAGGTTGCCAGAATATATTTAAAAATAAATAATGGTTAATTTGCACATTTAACTTTTTACACTTGCATGATGCTAATAGTGAGGTTGTTTTTTTAAATCTTAAGTAAAATAATATGCTAGTGCTTTTGTTAAATCTCAGAATCTTCAACCAAGTGATTGTATATCATTGTAAAAAGATTAAGGAAAAGACTGGTTTGTTGGAAAGAGCACTGAACTGGGAGTCTAAAAATCTGGGTTCTGTTTCTGGATGTTCCCTAACTGTGATCTTAAGTGTATAATTTCATATATCTGACCGTTGGCTGTTAAATATTGGCAGCAATTCTAATTTTGCCTACTTTCACAGGATTATTGGAAGGATCCATTGAGATATGAGCATCTTTTCTAAGCAGCTACAGTGATGGAATCTGTTGTGTTATGATTACTATTACCAGCTTATGCATTTTAGGAAAAAAATATATTTAGAGATATTTTGATCCCTAATTTTATTATCTTTTCTTCAAGAAGTACTAAGTTTAAGTAAGACTTAGAGAACTTGTTTGAAAATGGTAATGAATTAGTGAGTGACTAATAGGACAGAATACTATTATTGGGTCAGAGATTATTTGATCAGCAACCACAAAGATTTAAGCCCTGGGCTTCAAAACATTTTTTCTTCATTTTGAAATACAGTAAATAACAAAAAATTGGCAGGGTTTTACTACAGTAATTTTAAAATTTTATGCTCCTAGGTATTGTATCTAGAACTAGAGAAAAATCAGAAGAATTTTCCCATTTTTCAGAGGTCATTTGCTCTTACTGCCACTAGTGGATAACTGTTATCAGGCTGAGGTTTATAACAGCAGAGGCAGGCCATTTCTGTCTTTATTCTTTATTATTCTCCTTCTGTTTAATCCATTCGTCTCTCTTTTTGGGAACATGCTGCTTGGTTGTGGCTGGGGGATGGTGGTATTCAATCTCTGGACAAAAATATGATTCCTGGCCCATCCTTGCTTTGCTATTTGTTTCATTAGCTGCACATAGCTGGAATCTATTTGAGAGATCATGTGTGAAGAATTTGAGGACAGATAGTTGGTGTTGCCATTTAAGACAAGAATGTGTTTTAGGTACTCAGTCATCCTCTACCCACGGTACTTTAATGCTATCTGTGTACATGTTCTTGTGTGCTTGTATTTGCTGTATTTACTGGTTGAATTAATTGTGATGATTTTGATCCAGGGAAAAGATCCATCAACAAACTGGATTCTCCTGATCCCTTTAAACTGAATGATCCATTTCAGCCTTTCCCAGGCAATGATAGCCCCAAAGAAAAAGATCCTGAAATGTTTTGTGATCCATTCACTTCTTCTGCTACTACCACTACCAATAGAGAGGCTGATCCAAGCAATTTTGCCAACTTCAGTGCTGTAAGTACTGTGAATGAGTTTTTTTGGGGAAAAATCTTTGAAGAGTTTTCAAAGATTATTTTGGAGTCTGCCAAGTTTGCATCATTTTAACTAAATTTACCAAGATACTAAAAATAATCTTTCGTTCTTCCCCCAAGAAAAACCTCTGTTTGATCCTGTTTTGACAGTTCTATGGTTGTTCCATTGCACAAATGATTTTAGTAGTCTTAGTTCTTGTCATATATACAAGTTGTTTTGTAAATATTTCTCTTAGTCTTGGTAATATAAGTAAAATCCTAACAGTTGTTATTTTGTGGATGGTTATGGGTGATGATGACTTAATGAACAATTACAGAGTCATTGATGTCTGCCCACTAGATGAACAATGCCAGTAATAAGTTTGTGCATTTGCAGCTGTGTATGTGTGGTTGTGTATAAAGTTTTAATGATTTCTGAGACCAGTCAGCAAATATTATATCAGAGGATAGGGCCAGAGATTATTTGAATAGAAAGTAAAACTATTAAACTTATATAGTCACTTTTAAAAAATGTAAATGCCGGTTTTATGAAATAAATAAATAAATGGTTGTCAGGATTTAAACAATCTTTAATTATTCGGAGAGATCTAATTCACTAACTTCTCATGTTTACTCTGCATTCTTTCAGAGATGTCTAAAATAGGAAGATCATTAGAAAGAGTGGAAGGGTGCCATGATAACAGCATAAGCAGGGCGTATAAAATCACAGAAATGGTGCCACCAACCATGGAGGTATCAGTCTGGAGGGACATAAAGCAATGTCATATATTCCATCATTATTCAGTAAAAACAAGTTATTTTTAAATAAAATTCTTAGACTGGGTAACAAAGTTTCAGTTTCCCAGTTTTTTCAGGCAAAATAACCTTCGTTATCACTGCCTGTTCTATAAAACAGGAATTTTCTTCTGTTTATCACCTTATGCCCTTGAGATGATTTTGAAAACAGGAGATCTAGTGGCCAGGTAATTCTGCCTAATATTTCCCTCCTCAATGTAGCATTGGGACATTCAACCAGTTGCTTTATCCCTGCAGCTATTTCTAGTTAGAAAGGAGGTAGTCAAGAATCTGCATGCAGGCTGGGCATGGTGGCTCACACCTGTAATCCCAGCATTTTAAGAGACCAAAGTACTTTAAGCACCTGTAGTCCCAGCTACTTGGGAGGCTAAGGTGGTGGAGGTTGCAGTGAGCCATGATCATGCCACTGCACTCCAGCCTGGGTGACAGAGCCAGACCCTGTCTCCGAAAAAGAATCTGCATGCAACTAAGACGACTGAGCTCCCAGCTTTTGAATCTGTACTCTAAGTTCTGGTGGCTTCTCTTGAATATGAGAAAACAGGAATCAATATTTTGAATATTGTAAAAATGGAGTGTCAGAATTATACAGACTTTTTTTTTTGAGATGGAGTTTTGCTCTTATTGCCCAGGCTGGAGTGCAGTGGCATGATCTCAGGCTCTACCACCTAACCTCCACCTCCCAGGTTCAAGCGATCTTCCCGCCTCAAGCCTCCTCAACGTAGCTGGGATTACAGCAATGTGCCACCACACCTGGGCTATTTTTATTTTTAGTAGAGACGGGGTTTCTCATGTTGTTCCCTGGTCTTGACCTAACCTCAGGTGCGTCCACCCGCCTCAGCTGGGGATACAATGGGTTGACCGTCGTCGAGCCCAGGGCCTGACTTTCCTTGTTTTTTTTTTTTGAGACAGAGTTCTCTGCTCTGGCGCCAGAACTGTTTGTGGGAGTGCGGTGGTCGTAATTGTTCAGCTCACGGCCAACTACGCTTCCAGGGTTCAAGCGGATTCTCCTGGCCTCATCGACCTTCCCAAGGTTAGCTGGGACTACAGGCATGCGCACCAACCTAGCTAATTTTTGTGTTTTTAGTAGAGACAGGATTTCACCATGTTGGCCAGGATGGTCTCGATCTCTTGACCTCACAATGCACCTGCCTTGGTCTCCCGAAGTGCTGGGATTACAGGTGTGAACAACCGTGCCTGGCCCAACTTACCTTTCATTAGATGGAATTTGATTTGTTTCAAGCAGAGAATCAAAAATTGGCCTTTTTAGGGGGTTATAATTCTCTTAGTGTAAAATAACCCTGTGGTAGTTTGTGGCATTTAATATCTTAAGTATGGTTTTAGCAAGTCAAAATCTGGTTGGGGCCAGACAGGGTGGATCACTTGAGGTCAGGAGTGTGAGACCAGCCTGGCCAACATAGTGAAACCCCATCTCTACTAAAAATACAAAATTAGCCAGGCGTGGTGGCGCAGGCCTGTAATCCCAGCTAGGGAGGCTGAGGTGGGAGGATCACTTAAGCCCCAGGCGGAGGTTGCAGGATCTGAGATAGTGCCGCTGTCCTCAAGCTGGGTTACAGAGCGAGACTCCGTCTCAAAACAACAACAACAACAACAAATCTGGTTGGAAGGAGGCTGAACAACAGCTGAGGCATTTTGCTCCAAACTCAGTATAGTATAATAAAAAACAGCTTCTTTTTTCATTGTAAAACATGTGTTAAGTGTTACACATTTCAAAATTTTGCTTAATTCCCTAGGGAAAAAAAACTACCATTTCAAAAGCCTGACAAGGTATTTTATTTCATCCTTTCATGAAGGATTTTCTGTGTGACAAGACTTGAAACCAATTAGAATTTTTTAATTTAGTATTTGCCAAGGTTGCTGTTTGGGATAGATAAAAATATTTCCCCAACGTAATAATTATGAGTGTTAAGATTTTATTTAGACTGGTCTAAAAGTTGCCAAAGCCTGGAGAAATCTTCATAATGCTTTTTTTTTCTTTTTTTTTTTTTTGGCTCACTCCGTCCATCTGGTTGGAGAGCGGTGATATGATCACAGCTCACTGCAGCCTCAACTTCCCAGGCTCAGGTGATCCTCCCAAGTAGCTGAGATTATAGATGTGCATCACCGTACCTGGCTGATCTTTTTGTAAAGACAGGGTTTTGCCATGTTGCCAAGATGAACTTCTTGAACGTCTGAGCTCAAGCAATTGGCCCACCTTGGCCTCCCAAAGTACTAGGATTACAGATGTCAGCCACTATGCCTGGCTCAAAATGCTTTTTATAAAATATGATTAGGTTCTTGGGAGGCCAAGGTGGGCGGATCATCTGAGGTCAGGAGTTCGAGATCAGCCTAACCAACATGAAGAAACCCTATCTCTACTAAAAATACAAAATTAGCCAGGCGTGGTGGTACATGCCTGTAATCCCAGCTACTCGGGAGGCTGAGGCAGGAGAATCGCTTGAACCCTGGGAGCAGGAGGTTGTGGTGATCCAAGATTGTGCCATAGCATCCAGCCTGGGCAACAAGAGCGAAACTCCGTCTCCAAAAAAAAAAAAAAAAAAGATTAGGTTTACATCATATCTTGCTTAGTATACCCAATACTTTAATATGATGTATAGCAAAATCAGCTTTTTTTTGTTTGTTTTGCTTCTTAGCTTTTCTATACATTAAGGGTTAGGAAACTACCAGTGGGATTAAGTTAAAAATGATTTATCATGTGAGGGTCTCAGTAAAGTTGAAGTAGTAAATGTTTTACATTACATTAGATCAAAAAGGCTAGCCCTCTCCTGTTTTTAAATCTTCTAATCTACTATAAGCATTTCTACTTTTTTTAGTGATATATATATAACATTTTATATATATATATATATTTTTATATATATATATGTATTTTTTAGATGGAATCTCACTTTGTCACCCAGGCTGGAGTGCAGTGGTGCAGTTGCAGCTCACTGCAAACTCCGCCACCTGGGTTCAAGTGATTCTTGTGCCTCAGCCTCCCAAGTAGCTGGGATTATAGGCATCGCCACCATGCCCGGCTAATTTTTGTATTTTTAGTTGAGAGGGCGTTTTGCCGTGTTGGCCAAGCTGGTCTCGAACTCCTGACCTCAGGTGATCCACCTGCCTCGGCCTCCAAAGTGCTGGGATTATAGGCATGAGCCATCACATCTAGCCTAGTGATATTTTTAACATTTAGTTTTATATTCTGTCTATAGATTGAATTAATTTTTTAAATTAAACTACGGTTTAATAATATTAAACATGTTTTCAGGAAAAAAAAAAAAAAGAATTAACAAGTAACCAGACTATTTCCAGAGTCCTTCAGGTGAAACAAGTTAATGTCCTTTTGTAAAAACTATTTCCTTCTTTTTATTTGCTTTACTCATTTATTTATTCATTCGTTCATCGATCTTTTAAATGGCAGTATCCCTCTGAGGAAGATATGATCGAATGGGCCAAAAGGGAAAGTGAGAGAGAAGAAGAGCAGAGGCTTGCCCGACTAAATCAGCAAGAACAAGAAGACTTAGAACTGGCTATTGCACTCAGCAAATCTGAGATATCAGAAGCATGAAGAATTCTCTTGTTCTTTGGCAACAATATAGTACTCTTCTTCCTGAATACTGAAACTATTTACAATGTGTATCAAAACTACCTGTGAGCATGGGAATACAAAAGGTTTGAGATTCCTATAAATGTGACAAAATTTTAGGATTTTTTTTTTCTTCATTACAGATTTGTCTTTTTTTTTCTTATAAATGCCATAACCCAGTCAGACAAATTCACCTTCACTTAGGCCCCTGGCCCCTGTTCTGGTATACATTTACTGTGAGCTTTTGCCTGCCTGTGCTATTTTACTTGTAAAGCTAGAGCACCCAAGCTTCTGCTTTCTGGAATATAGAGAAATAGTTTCACCCTGCACTACGCTGTTCTGTAGTTATTCTGATGATAGCCAGTGAGGTTCTTAAAGTTTGCAGTATTCTCCCCTGATTGGAATGGTTGAGTGAGGATAAGGGAAAGAATATCTTACTTCTTTTATGATTGGTGCAAATTGGCTAAAGTGCATTTTAAAATTTCCTTATAGTAAAAATACTACTTAATTTGTTTTTTAGAGACAAGGAAAAATATTTTGCACAGATTTACTCCAGTATGGAAAAGGGACACTTTAGGTTGAACCATTATAGCCTCAGATTCGATCTTTTCCTAACTAAAAATATTAAAGCCTCATGTGTGAAATAAATTTTTTTAAAGATTTATCTGGATTTAGAGAATTTTAGATCAACAGATACCTCTCGGTGTGTTTGCTAATTAATAAAAATTAGTTTCTTACAAATAAAGTTTGTAAGAAAATGTTCATTTTAAGTGCTAGATAGTGGAGAAAATTTATCACCTAAAATATACCCATCAGTATAAGGCAAGCAAAAGTCTTAACATGGCAGCCATTCTGCCTTTGCCGTGGCCCTGTCCTGTTTAGTTCTTAGTGGGTTTATTTTTGTACTTTTGCAGAAGAAACTTCAGCAAGCTAGAACTGGAAGGTACTTTAATTTTTCATATATACTTTTTTTTTTTTTTTTTTAAATGAAGGCTCATTTACTTGAAATGTAAAAACTTTCACTGAATACAAATAGGAAAAAAAGTGATATGTTTTATATCATATTGCTTTTTGTCCATCTTTGTGGTTTAGTTTATTTACTCACTTCATGTTTTTCACCTATAAAATTGTCAAGCTAGCAACAAAACTCTTGTTTGTTTAATTGGGAGAGAAGAGACCTGCCAGATTATCAAAACTCTTCACGTATTAAAAGACCACTCCTGTAAAACCGACCTAGTGGACAAGCTGAATTTGAAATAGACTGTGAAGTAAGCTGTAACTTGTCATTTTAATTTTGTTTAACATGGTTACTGACTTAGATGATGTATTGAATACCAAGATAAAGAAAAATGCACCTAAAATCTAATTAGAATTATCTGGGTCACCAAGTCAAGGTGGTATTGATCTGTGTTAATCTGAGTAACTTATTGCCTAGCCTATAAATAAATTTCAAAGTATCCAATTCATTTCTTCTTCAAATGGTGCTTGTTTTCTTTCCATTACGCAATTGGACTCCTACAGTTTAAAACAAACTTTAAACCAGTGTCTTGCACTGCTAATAACTTTTTTCTACCTTTGTAAATAGAAACATTTCTGCATAAAAGTCATACATATGAAGCAAGGGCTGAATCATAATCACAAGGCTTTAATTTTGATAAACGAATCCAGTGACCTAAGGATTTTCTGCAAAATTTGACTGAGAAGTTAAGTATTGGGAGTTGCGATAGGTGGTATTTTTGTTTGTTTTCTTCCTCTTAAACTCCTTAGGATAAAGGTAAGTTTACTTGAACAACTTTCTTTTGCACTGGGAAAATGAGCAAATGTTGGAAATGCTTCAAAAATGTTTTTAATTAAAAAAACACTCGAGGCCGGGCGCAGTGGCTCAAGCCTGTAATCCCAGCACTTTGGGAGGCCGAGACGGGTGGATCACGAGGTCAGGAGATCGAGACCATCCTGGCTAACATGGTGAAACCCCATCTCTACTAAAAAATACAAAAAACTAGCCGGACGAGGTGGTGGGCGCCTGTGGGAGGCTGAGGCAGGAGAATGGCGTAAACCCGGGAGGCGGAGCTTGCAGTGAGCTGAGATCCGGCCACTGCACCCCAGCCTGGGCGACAGAGCAAGACTCCGTCTCAAAAAAAAAAAAAAAACACTCGAAAATAATAAATATCTATAACTTATAAACACCCACTTTCAATGTAATAAATGTATCCTAATCTTATGTATGTTTAACTGGATTACATAGATTTTTATCTTTTGTTAAAATGTGTATACTCCGTGGACCAATATAATGTTAAAGTATGTATATATTATATAAATATATATGTATATGTATGTGCTCGCTTGTGTAGGATGAATGTCTTAGAGTCGTTTGTGGTATTTTATGTTGTTGACTCTGGCTCCAGGGCCTGTGCTTGAAAAGGACAGATAAGTATTGCCCAGAGCTAAGTGGCACTACTTACAAAGTTTTAAACATCTTCTACATACTGATTCATGTTTATTTGAGCTCTCTTTATTATAGAATTTTCTCTTAAAGTTTCAAACCTCTAAGTTGTAGCCTGTAATTATGAGAACAGTAACCTTTAAGTAATAATAAAGAATCCTATCCATATATCTAATTTGCAGTGGAGTTTTGCATGGTCCTCTGATTATGTCCATGCTGTGTCCAAGGAGAAGTAGCTATATACAATCAGCACAGATTAATACGTGTAAAGGGTTTGGGACAGCACCTGGTATAGAATAAATAATAAATGTAAACTATTATTTTTGGTTATCATGTCCTTTTGCCTGCCTGTGCTATTTTACTTGTAAAGCTAGAGCACCCAAGCTTCTGCCTTCTGGAATATAGAAGTCTTTCATGTCTTTTATGAAAGAAAGGAAATGTATATGCATAAAAACAGTGCCTAAAACATATGTGGCTTTGTATATATGTGTTGAATAAGAATTTGTAGGCCCGACGCAGTGGCTCGCGCCTGTAATCCCAGCACTTCGGGAGGCTGAGGTGGGCAGATCACCTGAGGTCAGGAGTTCGAGAACAACCTGGCGAACATGGGGAAACTCTGTCTCTACTAAAAATGCGAAAAAATTAGATGAGCATAGTGGCTTGCACCTATAGTCCTAACTACTCGGGAGGCTGACACAGGAGAATTGCTTGAACCCGGGAGGCAGAGGTTGCAGTGAGCGGAGATCACACCACTGGACTCCAGCCTGGGTGACAGAGTGAGACTCCGTCTCAAAAAGAAAAAAGAATTTGTCACTGGGCACAGTGGCTCATGCCTGTAATCCCAGCACTTTGGGAGGCTGAGGTGGGAGGATCACTTGGGTTTAGGAGATGGAGACCAGCCTGGCCAACATGGTGAAACTCCATCTCTACTAAAAATTCAAAAACTAGCCAGGTGTGGTGGTGCATGCCTGTAGTCCCAGCTACTGGAGGCTGGGGTGGGAGGATCAATTGAGCCCAGTGAGGCTGCAAGAAGCTGAGGTTGTGCTGCTGTGCTCCAGCCTAGGCAACAGAGCAAGACCCTGTCTCAAAAAAAAAAAAAAAAACTAATCCCAGCACTTTGGGAGGACAAGGTGGGTGGATCTCCTGAGGTCAGGAGTTCAAGACCAGCCTGGCCAACACGGTGAAACCCCTGTCTCTAATAAAAAATACAAAAATTAGCCAGGCATGGTGGCAGGTGCCTGTAATCCCAGCTACTTGGGAGGCTGAGGCAGGAGAATAGCTTGAGCCTGGGAGGCGGAGGTTGCAGTGAGCCGAGACTGTGCCACTGCACCCCAGCCTGGGCAACAGAGCAACACTCCATATCAAAAAAAAAAAAAAATGTGACATGGACTTTTGGGAGGCTCTGTGTTCTAATAAACTCATAGTACTGGGACTGAATCTGTTTCTGCCATTTTTGAGGATGTAATGTAAAGATGATTTTGAGAAAGTTATTTAGCCTGCCTGAACCTCATGTTTCTCATCTAATGTACATCACAGTACTTAACTCACGGGATTGTTTTAAAGGATTTAGCTTTGATAGCTTTTTATTATTTATTTTAAATAAATTTAACCACAATATTACTAATAGTGAAAAGAGCCATTGGCTGTTGAATGTACATTATATATGAAGCACTCTACTAGGCATTTTATGTGTGTTTTCTCTTTTCTTGTTTAATCTTCACAATACCTCTAAGTAGTAGATATTGTTATCCCCTGTTTTAGAAATGGAGAAACTGAGGCTCAAAAATGTTAAAATAATGTGCTTCAGATCATCCAGCTGATGAGAAGATGAGCCAGGAACTGAACCCTGGTCGGTCTGATCCTAAGCATGATACTCTTTTCAGTTTACCATGCTTTATTTTGTGTGGAAGAAAAAAAAAATTTACTTATAGGAAGTGGTAGGAACAGGACATGATAAATAATAATAAATAACATTTACTAAGCTCCAGGCATGATCCTAAATGCTTTACTATTAATTTATTTAATCCTCACAATAGTAACCATGAAAGGTATAGGTACTATTATCTTCGCCATTTTACAGAAGAGGAACCCAAACTAGGCCACAGTTATGCAGCTAGTAAGTGGCAGAGCTGGAATTTGAACCTAGGAGATGGGCTCCAGAGTTTTAACCACTACTCTGTATTCCTGTTAATGATGAGTAGTCAGAGGAGCAGTGTCACAAATGAAATAATCCATGTAATCGCTGTTCTTGAGGATTAATGTAATAAACATATACATGGCATCTTATAAAACATTTTCCCATTCATTCTTGTATTTAACTCGTATGAGGGTTTAGAACACTTTCTGACACATGAAAGCACTTAACGATTATTAGTGTTATCATAAGTGATAAGTATATGGGGGGAGTAGCCAGCCTTGCTTTTAGTTTTTCTTTTTTTGTAGAGACAGAGTCTCACTCTGTTGCCCAGGCTGGAGTGCAGTAGCACAGTCATAGCTCATTGTAACCTGGGCTCATGAACTCCTGGGCTCAAGAGATCCTCCTGCCTCAGCCTCCCAAGTAGCTAGGACTATAAATACATGCCACTGGACCTAGTTAGTTAGTTAGTTATTTAGTAGAGATAGAGGTCTCACTTTGTTGCCCAGGCTGGTCTTGAACTCAAGTGATCCTCCCTCCTCAACCACCCAAAGTGCTGGGATTATAGGCTCAGCCAAACCTTGTTTTAAATACAACATTTAAAACCAAAAGGCTAGAAAAAATGAAAAGTAATTTATCAGTACTGACAAGGCTCTGGAAAGAGTACATAAAAAGGGAAAGGCAGAGTAAGTTTTGAAGAGTTCGAAGTAGCTCAGTGTGACTAGAGTGTAGGTTTGTGGGCAAAAGACTGAGGTGTTTGTGTTCGTAAGATTTCATTGGTGGTGATTTGGGGAATTGCCTTAGAAGAAAATCAGGTAAGGCAGGGAGAGCAGGTGGAAGATTGTTGCAGTCATGCAGGTGAGATGGTAAGAACTTAAAATGTGGTTGTGGCTGGAGACTAAGAGAAGGGGACCAATTTGAGAAAGATTTAGGAGAATTAACAGGTCTTGAGGTCTGATTAGATGTAGGTGGTAAGGGGAAAGGAGTACTCAAAATTTAGCAAGCAATAGGATCACCTGGAGGACGTGTCAAACTACGAATTGCTGGACTCCAGCCCCAGAGTTTTTGATTCAGTAGGTTGTAGAGTTGGACCCCCGAATTTACATTTCTAACAGGTTCCCAGATGATGGTGATGTTGACTCAGGGGCCTCAGTTTGAGAACCACTAGAGTAGATGATAACTTCTAAGTCTCTTTTGTTTGCTGGTTTTATTAAATCCATTCATTTACTCTGCAGTGCTGTTGCATCTTGTCATTCTACACTTGACCTGTGGATTCTGCTTCTTGGTAACCTCTAATCTTTCTTATGGATAGACAGTTTTTGAAAATAATAATTGCAGGCTGGGCACGGTGGCTCACGACTGTAATCCCAGGACTTTGGGAGGCCAAGGTGGGCAGATCACTTGAGGTCAGGAATTTGAGACCAGCCTGGCCAACATGGTGAAACCCCGGCTCTACTAAAAATACAAAAATTAGCTGGGCATGGTGACGCACGCCTGTAGTCCCAGCTACACTCGTGAGGCTGAGGCAGGAGAATCGCTTGAACCGTGGAGATGGAGGCTGCAGTGAGCCAAGACCATGCCACCATACTCCAAGTCTGGGTGACAGTGAGACTCTGTCTCCAAAAAAATACATAAAAATAATAATTGCAAGTTAGCACTTATATAGCACTTAGTGCCCCGTACTATTTAAAGTACTTTATATATACTGATTAATTTAACCTCCATATCCCCAGTTTACAGATGAGAAGACTGAGAAGTACAAAGAGGTTAAATAATTTGTCCAAGACCACTGAGCTAAAAAGCGCCAGAGCTAGGATTCAAACCCAGGCCCAGGCAGTTGGCTGAGCGCAGTGGCTCACGCCTGTAATTCTAGCACTTCGGAAGGCCAAGGCAGGTGG